AAGTAGAACTGAATGACCCTAAAGGTTTACATTCATAAACATGGTAGTCACCTCACCATATTAGCTAATTATCATATTTAGATTATGAATATGAAGACAACATAATAAAAAGGATAAAGATTATTAAAATTGATTAGTCAAAGCTAGTGATTGATTGATAGCTTGGGCATACATTTCTTAAGCTAGTATTGGCTATGAGTCGCCATTTAAATCCTTTGTACATCACGATAAATCTTAATAATGTACCAGCATAAAGAGTTTTGGTTGATAATGGAGCCTCACTTAACATTATGACTTGGTTTTGTTATCACTAAAGTTAGTCATAACAAGGCAGTTATGAACCTATCAAAAATTGTTATATGAGATTTTATAAGAGACATAAAAGACACTATAAGGGTATTAATTATAGATCTAACTATATGATCCAAAACCTTTAATGCAACTTTCTTTATGGTAAAAGTAAAGATAAGTTATAACAACTTGCTTTGACAAGAATAGACACACACTAACTTATATGTATCATCATCTTTATATCAAGATTTGATGTTTTGGTTACTAGATAGATAACTAAAATAGTTAAAGATGATGATAAACTATTTGTGGTTAATTTAAGAATGCCAAATAAATGGTTATATAAACATGACTTAGGTATAGTCTTATTAATAAACATAGATAATATGGGTTGCCTTATTGACTTCTAAGTAAAAACATAATATGCATGAAGCAATTCACAGTATATTTTGTTAGGCCAAATAACCTGTAATTGGAAGGAAATGACCAAAATTTTAAAACTCATAATTAAATAAGTTATTATGAATCAATAATATTGTTGCACCTAATATCTCGACAACCTAACCTCTTTCTTAAAAAAATAACCTATTTGTGTGTAAGTGGGAAAGTCTTAATTTCTTGAAAAGGAGTCTTTACTGAGTATTATAGTTACTAGAAATCTTAATTAGTCAATAAAGATATATGATAAATGACTAGTTATAATGAAACAAGACATTATCATTTTAAAACATATTACTTGAGATAAGCTTCAATATTAATCATATTTGGATGTAATTAATGAATGTTAGACTAAAATCCTTCTTAATATTCTTGATTTTTTTGTTAATGAATATTAGACTAAAAATTTATTACTCCTATTTTTTTTATCAATAAATATTAAACTAAAAATTTAATACTCCTAATTTTATTATTAGTGAATATTAGCCTAAAATTTTTATTCTATGAAAAATCAAAAGGATATTTTAGTCCTCTTAATATTTAATGCAATGACTTATATTGAGTCCATTTACCTAAAATTATCAAAAGTCAATAGGAAAAAAAAAATTGAAATGGGTTCTTAGAAAACCAAGGTGGGCATTTTCAAGATTTTAGAAATGTCAACCCAATAAGCCTTTTAATGTGAACCAAGTCATAATAAGTTTTATAAACTTGTTATAAAACCCTAAAATGCATGCAATAAATATATTTTTTTCCTTTTTTTTCAAAAATGCCAAATAAGATTAAAAAAATCAAAACATGCAAGAACTTTTATATATATATTTGAGAGACTTGGCCATATGATAAATTTGATGGTGATGAAACTTTTTTATATTTTAGGTGACGAGGATCATGATATTATTAATAAAATATACAAGAATCAAATAAGCTTAATTATCCACCAAAGACATTATACACACGTAAGAACCTTAATTTTGCATGCATAAAATTACAATAAGTAATAAACAAAAACACATGGACAAGGCTAAAATCAAGTTTAAACATGTTATTCCTCATAATCCATGCATATAAAAATGGATATACAAGATTAGAAGATTTCACCAATATCATTCCAACACAAAATCAATCCAATAAACATTGTATAATCCCAAAATCTTATCACATAACATATCAAAATCAACAATAAAGCAAGATAATTATTCAATAAAGGTTTTAGGTTTGGAATGGATTTCAAGGGTGGTTAATGATGATAAAGATGGCTAGAAACAATGTAAAAACTTGCTAAAAAAAAGAAAATCAGTGACAATATGTAGCTAAAATGCCCTTGAAGAAGCTATCACGGTTGGTGTATTGTTACACGAACCACCAATGCTTGACCAGCATATGGATGGATCTATAAGGTGCTTCAAACCATCCTTTAACTTGTGTTGGAGGTACAACCACCTTCTGTTGGTAGAGAGAGATCTAATATCAAAAAGTCACAATGGTTTTTTTTTATGTACTAGTTTATTTTCTAAATTTCATATTTGCTCACACCAAGGGAATTAGATTATAGAACTTATATGCTTGTGTAGCACTCTTCAAAAGAAGAAGAATGGTGGTGATCTCACCTAATTTGGAGGTTGAATGAGAGAGAAATAAAAACATAAGTTCTTATGGTTGTTTTCTCTCTCTCTCTCTCTTTGATTAACAATGAAGTAGGGCTTACTAGTTTCAATTCATTAAGGGCTTTTATAGAGGGCTTCAAGACAAAGAGTATGGTGATGGTCTCATAAAAAATAGAGGTTAGAGATGAGAGAAGTTAAGGGAAGAAATTTTAGATTTAGAAAAAGAAAGATAAATGTAGGGTTTTTTATAAGAGAATATAAAAGAAGATGAATAGTATTCATATTAGGTTAATTTTTTTTTTTCCATTTTAGCTTATATTTTCTTATAAAAAAAAATGTGATGGCTCTTTCACATGGTGGCTAAGGGTTTTTAAGAGAGTGTCATGAAAGAGATGAAGAATTGTGTCTTTTATGTAGTAGCCTTGCTCTTACTCTACAATTTATTTATTTATTTATAACCTATAAATTTTATTATCTTCTTAGTAGTATCTTGGTTCTAATTTTGTTTTGGTCCCTCATTTTTCTTTTTTTGTTATCCTTCTGTCCATTTTAATCCTTATTTTGATTTTTTTTTTTTGTATATTAGTTGTTTTTTAAAGCAAAGTTAATGTGAATCCGATAAGAAAAGTAATCAAGAATTATGAAATAGACACAAATGTGTCGAACACATTTCTTTGAATTTAATTTATCAAAAAAAATTAAAAATTAAAAAATCAATACAAATGCATCGAAAACTGACACGACGAAAAGATTGTTGTCTTCTCCCAAGTGTAGGAGTGTCGAAGTAATAAATAACCCGGCAAGACCGGGGTCAAACCACAGGGAGGTTAATTGTACAAATTATAAATAACAAT